AGGCTGGTGGGTTTGAACCTGGCCCCAGGCTAGCTAAAAACAACAATGACAATTCCAACAACAACAAAAATAACCAGGCATTGTGGTAGGCGCCCATACTCCCAGCTATTTGGGAGGCTGAGGCAAGCGTTTGAGGTTGCTGTGAGCTGGGACATCATGGTACTCTACCCAGGGCGATAGCTTAAGACTCTGTCTCAAAAAAATAAAAAATGAATGGGGGATTTCCTAGTATCATTACTGGCTAGATACTGTTGTAAAGGAAGAGGGAGACCAAGGAATACAGGTGTGTTTGCTACTCTCAAGAAGCTCACAGTCAAAAATGAAGTATATGGGACGGGCATAGAGGCTAACACTCTGGGAGCCAGGATGGGTAGATCATCTGAGCTCAGGAGTTTGAGAACAGCCCAAGCAAGAGTGAGATTCTGTCTCTACTGAAAAAAAAAAAAAAAAATAGAAAAATGGGTTGGGTTTTGTGGCTAGCACCTATAATCCCAGCTACTCGGGAATCTGAGGCAAGAAGATCACTTGAGTTTGAGGTTGCTATGAGCTATGATGTCACAGTACTCTACTCAGGGTAACAGAGTAAGACTCTTTCTCAAAGGAAAATAAAAGAAGTATGTAATAATACAATAGACTAATAGAAAAATTCTAATAGAGACATACAAAAAAAAATTTTTTTTTAGCACAAAGAAAAAAGTACTTACTCTCTGAGAAAGAGTGCTGAACATGTTAGAGAGTGCTTAGATATTATTAAAGAGTTTGAATTAGTTTCGAAGGAGAATATTTTACAGGTGAAATGTGTCCTGGAATGATTTAGTTATTTGCTAGATTGATTCTTCACTGTCTTTTGTGAAGTACATGTCATCCTTTGCCAGTGATCATTCTTCTTGGTTATATACATTATGTGTATGGATTTTGCTCTTAACTCTGTAGCTTATTTATCCTAAGTCTGGATCTAAAAGCAAAATCCTTATAATGTATGAATGTCTTTTAGAATTTTAACAGCTTTAGACAGTGCAAGAAATTATTTCAGTTAGTATTTTTGTATTTCATCTTGCAGAGGATTATGTGAATATATTTTTTCCCCTTTAGGGAAGTGGTTGACTCCATGGTTCAACATTTTAAAGTAACTATATTTGGAGACCGTAGACCAGTTTATGATGGAAAAAGAAGCCTTTACACAGCCAATCCACTTCCTGTGGCAACTACTGGGGTAAGATATACATTCCATTATTAAAAGCTGTGCTTTTATATTGTTTTCTTTTACATACAGTTATTAATTTTTTATTGTAATCCTTGTTTGTATGTATAGCACTTACCATTTTTAATTTTTTATTGAAATAGTTTTAGACTTATTAGAAAAGTTACAAGAATCATGCAGAGAACTGTTGCATACTCTTTACCCTTAAAGGGTAAACATTAACCTTTTTAATGTTCTTAACATTTGTCAGGTTTATTTTATCATTTTTCTTTATCTCTTTTCCTCTTTGTATCTACAGATAGCTATATATAGAAGCACATATACATATTTTTTTCTGACCCATTCATACATAGGTTGCATACATCCATCCCTTTAAT